TCCGCCTTCCTTCTGATGGTGATGTAGCTGCTGAAGCGGAACTCCTTCTCCAGCTCCAGCCTTTGGTGGTCAGTGTACACCACGCGATACTTGTCCCTCGTTCTGGTCTTCCCTATAAATAAACAAATAAAAGATCCAGTCAGTACTGTGCGTGTCCTGCATGGGAGCTCGTCTTAATATATCAGAGTCTTTATGTCTTAACAAATTCGCCCGCCCTCACCCCAGGACCCGGACACAAAAATAAAGCATCTAACACACTTAAAGAAGGGTTCACTAACAGTAAGATCGTGATAAGGAGAAGATGCCCCTTACCATTGCACTCCTGTTAACGAAAATATTCGCGGCGTTTCTAGCAGAACTCGTCTTGACACACATTGCTTGTCCTCCGTCGCCTGACTGATTGTTCGTGCGTTCGAAAGCTTTTTTTTTATTGCACGATGAAATCTATCAAATTCATTCAGGAAAATAATTTCGCCTTTGTAAAAAATAAAACTTTTGCATCTTTTTTTTTTAGGGGAAAAAAAAGCGTTTCCTTTCTCGTCATTAAAGTGATTGCTGGAACGTCAAGCCTGTCGAGTGCTTTAGCCGGTTTCGTCACTAACATTAAACTCACTGAAAGATCGCTTTTATTTCTGAAATAAATAGCTCCTGGGTTGTTCGCTCGCTGGCACCGGCTACCTTTTCTGATCAGTTGCTTATAATGTATTCATTAATCGTTAAACGATCAATCAACCGAATCCCAGTTAGACTAGAAAATGGTATTAATCCCTATAAAACTTTCAAGACTCAAAACCGATGGTCCTCTGATGTGCATGATATATATTCAGTGACTATTTCACTCAAAAACGCGAATCAACAACCTCAGAACTCATTTAGAATAATCCAGGAAATTCTCAGGAATATGTTGTGCGTAAAATAAATTTATAGCAACAAATTACACGTCATTTCCGTTAAAAATAGTTTTAGGTATTTACACAGTCGACGTCCTGGAACAGATGACAGTTACTAGTGGATCAGATTATGTTAATACAGCAGCTTCTCGTGTGTATCACTGCACTTTTTACTCGTTACACGACTGTGTATCCGGGTGGACTTTGTTCAGCGCTGTAGACATTGTAAACTGCTTCTAACATTTGCCTGCCTCCCTGTTATTTCTGCCATTTTCGTTTCCACACATTTCTGTTACTATTATCTGAATATTTTCCCCTTTATATATTTTCTGAACTTTCTGTTGCAGGTTTTGTGAGGTCCCGAATAAGGGCACCTGCTAAACAAATAAATAAGAATAAAATACATTTTACCGATAGATTCTGTGCTTCTACGAAGTAAATTCTCCGGTGAACGAAAAACAAAAACTGTGAAGGAATAAATGTTGACTAAGACGTACATTTAGTTTTCCAGACGGACGGTAAATAAAAAGTTCTGGTTTCACTTGAAATCAGCTCAACCTGAGCCACTTCAGGGTGAGGTTTATTCACTTGTTACTTGCGAAGTCCAAAGTAAAATTAAAAATCTGAACTATTGAAACATTAAAGCTCAAACATTTTACACCGATAACGAACGGATTGTCCAGAGGGTCTCCCCGCAAGCGAGCGGACGGATCGCCGGCGATAATCGGCTCTCCTCCTTTCCCCTCCGGAGATTGATATGTGATTTCTGTTGTCCATTTAAACGCTGGAATTTAAAAGGTTTCCTACCTGTCAATTAATACCTCCGGTAAGTAAAAAAAAACATCGTAATATACAACTAACATCAAACATTTTTTTTTGTAATGAACAGTTTATCAGACACATTTTCGAATACAGTGATTAGCCTAATCTGGCTTTGACCCCTAGGTTGAGGGAGAATAGTTATAGTGTAAGCTTTTAATTGTACCCATCGGTCATGCTAATAAAGCACCTTGAATTGAATTGAATTGGAAGGGACAGACTACTCTGTAATTGAGGGGGGATGCAGAATTCGGGCTCCTGTTCACCCCCATAGCGAGAGACGCACCTCGTTATGTCTCTCTTATTTTATTCTCAAACAATGTCATCATCAGCGATGGACTGGGGTCCCGTCCAGGGTGTGCCCTGCCTCGTTGCTTGCCGGGTAGACTCCGGCTTCTCGCGACACCGTATGGTATAAAGCGGTTTGGCAAATGACACGAGACGACAGTGTCACCATTATAAATAGGAAGGAGAAGGTCATGTTCGAGTCAGCCTTTCGAATCTTAAAACCCTAAATTCATCTCAACGTTAGAGGTACACAAGCAATGCAACTGTATGGAAATTGGCAGCTTTCGGCCACGAATTCAAGTTTTAATATTTAAAATAACTAAAAAAACAATTGTTTGTTGCAGGACGATATAGCATTCTCTAAAGAGTACACAATGGTGGTTAGTAGAAAACCCACAGAAAAAACAAATAACAGTAATAATACTGGAAGAACACGGCTCTGTCAGAGATAGAGATAGTGATTATAGAAGTGAAAACACCGAGGGACAACAAAACCTGAAGTGAAATGAAACAAAATGAAAGTTTTGAAAGTTGCGTGACTGAAGTCTTATAGGGCATGAATCTTATTCAATGTAAGAAGATGCTTGCAATGTATTTGTGAGTGACGTGTTTATTACCAGGGCACAGGAGCTTTCTGATTTATTGTTCACTGTACTGCGGCTGAAAATAACGGTTTCCTGGCGTTGCTTTACATTTTACGTTGGATTTGTTCGCGTCGGAGTCAGTGAGTGTATCGAGGAGATCAAGCCGCCTCTCGCACGCCGTTGTGTAAGACAGAGAGGGGAGGCGCAGTAACATTTTAGCCATTTCAAACATTATCCCGCAAACTTTGTTGTCGCATTTTTAAAATTGCCCATTGTTTGTTGCGGGAAATATTGGACGTATTGTTTTCCGAAGACCACTTTCTGATTTTATTTGTATGAAATCGGAACAAAACCAACTTGAAAATTCTTCTGACCACGAAGAACGCGCGTGATTGTAAAAGTAAGCGCCCACGCACTTTCCCGTTCCTGTTCAAACACTTCGACAGTCCCTGCAGCGTCTCCACTGCAGGAATGGCAGTCGCCCTTGAAAGTAATCGATTCTCTACAAGCACAGAAATAATGCCAACGGATTGTCGAAGGGGATTTCTTTTCTTACCTGAGCTGTTGTTAGCTGTCGGCGTACTCCGATTTGTCCACTGGTAACAATACGGGCTGTTGGCGTTAAGGCACTCACTGGAATTGGTGTTCAGCGCCTGAACTATGCTTAGCTCTGACTGAGGCCCGGGACTGTACTCCGCCGGACAGTAAGCGGTCCCGGGTGATGCGTTCAAGCGGTACAAGCCATTCTGGAGTGTCTGGGGATAAGCACTCCAATCCTGGCGAGCTGGTCCGTAGTGCCAGGAGGTGGTTGTTTGAGTGGTCCCGTCCAGATTCAGCCCCGACACATGATACTGCCCGTATTCCGGGTATTGTGGCGGGTTGACGAAGTCTGGGGCACCAAGATAATGCCCTGCGCGTTTTACGGAACCTGGGTACATGTTCGCGTCTGTATCTAAAAGATGTCTTACGTGCATATTGGCGATGGGAATGGCGCCATCCCCGTTATGTTAGAAAATACTGAACAAAACAATTTCAGAGCAGGTCAGCCCAGCTGGTCCTGTAAGATTTTTCGAGCGGTTTCTTCCCTGATGAACAGAGCCCATTGACCGATCCCCACCTGACAGAAACTGTTTACAAAGATCTGATTAGACCTCCAACGGCAGGTGACGTCAAGTCCTGTGGAAGAACTCCCACCTCACACACACACACAAAGAAAGATTTGCATTTTACAAAGATAAGACGTGAGCAACTAAATATCCCGATTTTATTGCTTAAGAGCTTCCTCGAAGGCTTTACAGTCTGTGCGCACTTTGGCCCGACCAGCAGACTCGAGCTGTTTGAAGAGGAAGCGCTTGATTTCTGCGATTTTGCGGCGCCAGGAGCCGGGGGGGTGAAACAGGGAGAGTGCCACACACCAGACGGCCAAGAAACTAAACACAGGGGATGGAGAAGCGTAGGCCCACCCGTTCTGAATCTTATCCGATCACTAATATATCCTCTTTGACAGACATGATCTCCCACCAAAACAACGCAATACGTTTTGACTTAACAAGGAAAGAGAAAAGGGGGCATTAAGTGACCCGATTATTCACAGGCTGTCTCCTCATTTAGAGGCTTGTCCGCAGCACTGAGGCTCGGAGAGCAATTATGCCACTCTCTGTGTTCATGTTTTTTGTTTCTTATTCTGAATCAGGAGGAGTGTTTGCGACCTGCACGTTTAAAAGAGCGAAATTAATTCTGCAGCTAGTCGCGCCACGGATTGGCAGCATGCGATAGGCAGTCGATCCCCGGAAGGCCGACGGCTGTCCAGCGGGCTGCTGAAGACTCGGGCACTGCCGGCAGTCGTTGTACACCAGCCTTACGGAGATCTGGGCTGGTGCAACTTCAGAGTTGTCCGTCGGCGACATTTTAACGATCAGAGCAATCAGAAGACCTCCTTGCTTATTTCGCCCTGTCTGCTGGCACAGTGCCCCCGGTCCCGCTGGCCACAGCGGCAGATCAACAGCTAACAGGCAGCCCGAGCGGAAATCAAAGAATTCGGATGATCCCACTGCTGGGTTAATTCGTGGTTCAACTACATAATAATAATAATAATAATAACAACCATAACAATAAATAGTAATAATAATTCCTTACACTAATATAGCATTTTTCTGGACACTCCACTCAAAGCACTTTACAGGTAATGGGGGTTCCCCTCCACCACCACCAGTGTGCACCCCTACCTGGATGATGCGACGGCAGCCATAGTGCGCCAGTACTCTCCCCACACACCAGCTCTCAGTGGGGAGGAGAACAGAGTGATGGAGCCAGTTCAGAGATGGGGATTACTAGGAGGCCATGACTGGTAAAGGCCAGGGGTCAATTTGGCCAGGACACAGGGGTAACAGCCCTACTCTTTTTGAGAAACGCCCTGGGATTTTCACTGACCACAGAGAATCAAGACCTCAGTTTTACTCCTCATCCGTAAGACGGTGCCTGTTTGACAGTACGGTGTCCCTGTCCCTATACTGGGGCGTTAGGACCCACACAAACTTCAGGGTGAGCACCCCCTACTGGTCCCATTAACACCACTTCCAGCAGCAGCCTTAGCTTTCCCAGGAGGTCTCCCATCCAGGTACTGACCAGGCTCAGACCCGCGGAGCTCCAGTAGGCTGCAGGGTGATATACTGCAGACCTGAGCCAGGCTGGAGAAAGACCTCAAGGACCCTGTGCAGACCGATCCTTTGAGATAAACGTCCTTTATGTCTGGTGGCAGCCGCCTGGCAGCTGCAGCGTGGCACACAGAGGCCGGGTACACCACGGGCCTGCCCTGCTGACTCCTGAGGACGCCCTGTCACTGCAAGATAAGGGCAGGGGCGTGCAGGGCGCCTCCTCCAGCCGCCTGGCGCCCAGTGATGTAGATGGTCCCCCGCAATCTGGGCGCCGACACCCTTCATTCCATCAATCACCGTTGCTCACCGCTAACATTTATTGACACTATTGGAGCCAATAATACCCGAGAGCTTAATGAGACCTTAATCTCGAAAAGCAAACCTCGCTGTGGTTAAAGATAAACCTTTGAAACAAATGACGTTTACATTTAAATGCATATTTGTCACTGTGCTGCAACACTGACCTCCCAGAGGAGGTTTTCTTTTAAGGGCAGCGAAACCTATAATCAACTTGACCCCGACATCACACAAATTGTTAGGAATCAGTATATTTTCTTCAGCGGTACACACTTTAAAACCACATATCCTGAAACACATTCTCTGCAACAGTGTGGAATGGATGCATTTAGTAAGCCAGTTTTTGGTGCACTGAAAGTATATTCTGAAATGATCACGAGTCTGAATGTGTATACTCCACTGCTTGAGAATGGGGTTTAACGTTTGGTTTCTGTAAGCCATCTCCCTCCGATATTGATTAATAATTACAGCTTTATGGCGTTTTTCAAGTGTGCTTCCCGACACTCGCTGAGGGCCGGAGCTCCAAAGTGTGCTCTACAGCTTGTTGCGATCCCGGGGCCTGCTGGCGATGTCCCGGAGTCTCAGGTGGCAGATCTTCTTCACCTCCTCCACGGCTCGCCTGAGCTCCTCCGCCGGGTCGCTGCCGAGCCGCTCGCTCAGCCGCTGGACGATGCTCTCCCTGTCGTTCATGCGGGCGCAGATGACGAACGGAAACCCGAACCGGTCCTTGTACTCCGCGTTGAGCCGGCGCATGCGGCTTTCCTCGGCCGGGGTTAGCGAGGCCAAGCCTGCCTGCGTTTGCTCTCCGCGGGATTCGGGGGTCAGACTGCCGCTGAAGAGGTCTCGCCCAGCGAGGTCAGGGTGGCACCTCAGTATACCCTCCTGCCCTGCGGGGAAGCGAGGGGGAAACGCCACACTCAGGTCGCCGGCCCATGACGCTGCAACTCTTGAGCAGAACCGACCTGGGCTCCGACCTTAAGATCGGGACAGGTCAGAACCGGAGCGAGTGGCTGTGTTGGACTTTTCTGATACATGCCTGTAAAACTGTCTGTCGAGGTGTCTTCGACGGCAGGAAAGGGCAGAAAACTTTAAAAAACATTTAAAAACTTTAAAAATAAAGTTAGTGAGCTATTCACAAAACAAACCGGAATAAATAATACTTAAGAAGTTAGATTTATCTCTGTCGGGGTCTCTCAAACCTGGTCAGGGAAGAACATTGTCTGGTGTTTTTCATTGCAGCCGAGTTCTACCTCTCCAGAGCTGATACATGATCTGCTCGCTTGTCTAGACTTTAAACCTATTTCTTTCAATTGCGAGTGTCAAAAATACACAACTTCACGGGTTTCCAACAACCTCAGCACACGGGACTGCAGACAGCCTCTCCTCTGGCTGTTATCTCCGACTAAACAGCTCTTACTAACTGATCAGTGACATTTCAAGCAGCCCACCTGAATGAGGGCAGTTCTGTAGCTCTGCACTTGGTACAGAATTGATCCGGACTATAAATCCCATCTGACCCGTGAGTGCCGAGGGTACATGTGTAACATATAGGCCAGCTAGAAAACCTAACCAGGAGCAGAAACCAGGAGAGACAGCGTTCCCCCGGGACCGGGGCTGGGAAACGCGGATCTACATTGAGGAAGCGATTAAAACATGTCCAAACAGGAAAAAAAAAAAAGAAGTGTTTATGTAATTTACAGAATTTCCGAACCCGAATTTCACGCTGACCTGACGCTGAACGGTTAAATCAACAGGGCGAGTTGATCCTGCAGCTTAAAACATTGTTCCCCTCGCAAAACTGAGGCTTTGGAGTTGAGGCTCTGCTGACATCTGGCGGCTAGGCTGCGCCGGCAGTCCAGGCCCGGGCAGGCTGCTGCCGTAACTCTGCTATAGACGCCCAGCAGCACGCCCCTTTCAGTAACAGGTGGATATATTCCGTGCTGCTAAGCTATTTAAACTTCACACTTATACTTCAAGCACCGAAAAAGCTTTTGAGCTACGATTTTCCTCGTTATACGTTGTATCATGGGTACCGATAGGATGTTAACGACAGACCTGACGGGCCAGGGAGACCTGTGGTCGAGACTCAAGAGACCAGCAGCAGAACCCGGAAACGCCGATGTGTTCATAATTAAACCGTGGAAACGCGTATGTCGTGCGTGCATATTATCACGCGATTGTAGCTGTTTCAGGGGGAGTATAGGCTACAGTTCTGGGTAAAGGCGAGCGAGTTGGTTCAGCCCTGTGATTAATGTCTTACCCGAGACTGGGAGGTTGTCGATGAACTCCGCTATGCTGGCTTCCAAGTCGGGGAAAGTTGAAAAGGGCCGTCGGCTCCACACCGCCGCAGCGATGAGGGGACACCTCTCAACAACATTGCCGAAAATATCCACGAATTCCTCGTAAGAGAGGGTGTTAACTGCGCGGATATCCATAACCTCAGCTCCCGAGCGGGCCAAGCCGTCCGGCAGCGTCAGCGAGGTGAGTGACCGCGCGGACTGTCCTCCGTGTTTCACGCGGGTGCTTCGGGGTCCCGGATGTCCCTTATTAAGGGATAGGACTCCTCCCAGCAAAGCTGCTACAAAACCAGTGCGCCGTCATGTACACAGGAAGGAAATACAGCTAAAGGTTTAAACTCTTGACAAAATAAGTGTCTATGCAGTAAACAGCTGGGAAACACCACAAAACGGCAATCAGATGAACAACAGAGGTCAATAATAATCCCAGGGCGTTTCTCAGAAAGAGCAGGGCTGTTACCCCTGTGTCCTGGCCAAATTGACCCCCGGCCTTTACCAGTCAGGGCCTCCTAATAATCCCCATCTCTGAACTGGCTCTCCTCCCCCCTGAGAGCTGGTGTGTGGGGAGAGTACTGGCGCATCATCCAGGTGGGGCTGCACACTGGTGGTGGTAGTGGGATTCCCCCTGACCTGTAATGTGCTTTAAGTGGAGTGTCCAGAAAAGCCCTATTTAAGCAGAAGGAATTATTATTCTTTTGCAAGCGCTTGTCGTTCTTCTTGTGTGTCTTTTGTTTAGAGGTGAGGAGAGAAACCTGCGTGTGATCTGGGGCCAGCCTTGACGAACTGGGAGAAGCTGGTGAACTGGCTCGAGCCAGTCACTGGATTGATCCAAGTCCGTCAAGAGCCCAGCTGTGGAGCAGGACCGAGCCGCCCGCCCACAGCCGCCGGAGGCAAAAAGAAAACACGGTGTTCAGACGGGGGGAAAAAAAAAGTGAAATTAATTTTTTTTATTTATTTAAAGCATTGTACATCGCTTAAAAATATATATATTTAGAAAGATTGTAAAAAAACAAAACAAAACATTGTAATAAACCCCCCATCCGCCTTTCGTCACCCAAACGTGCTGCCCCCTTCTGGAGCGCGAGGCGTGCTTCGGCGCGACGCGGTCAGAGGAGACGAGCCGGAAATCAGGCATTTAAATGTGAATGTTAGATTCATGGAATTTGATGTCATATTAGACAGCAAGGTGATATACGGGCGGAAAAAAATCACATTTAGTTGTAATTAACCTGTAGTACTACCGGGTAGATATCATATTCACAAAACCAACTGCTCTCATGCTGTCCCCCGCCTTTAAAGCTTGGAAGAGGGAAATGAAATATTACTTGAAGTCCTTAAAAAACGTGAAAAAAAGGTACAAACACAATTACACAAATCAACACAAATTCTTCAACACAAATAGCGAAGAATTTGAACTTTTGTGTTCTGATTTGTAAGTACCCCTGGCAGGGTATTGTCTTGTGTTTTTATTATTTTTTGTTCACATCTTTTTTTAGATATCTTTTTTTCCCCTTTGTGTTATTTGACGTTATATAGAAGCCTGAAAAGTGTTCACTTTGCTCTCGTTAAAATACCATGCTATCAGAATTGAAAAGTAACGATGAGCTAGAAGACTTATAACGACGTAAAACATGTGTAAATAATTTAAAAAAAAACTATGTTATGAATGAGAAACAAAGAAAATATACAGCTCTGTATCCAAGCTCAATTAGTTTTACAAGGAATCTCGTACAGCTGGAGTGAAGATTTTAATAACACAAAATGATGGATTAAGCTGCGATACAAATGGAGAACAATATCCACCTTTTATATAACAGATGGTGAAGCTATTTTCTAATACTGTTAATATATATTGAGAAATGTCTCTCTCTAGCTGCCCGTCTCCGGAGGCAGAGATCCTGCTCTTGGCCCTGGACTGGACACACACCTCTGCTTTTGATCCATTTCACAACTGGACTCTCGGTTGGCTAAATAATAGTCATATGAACGGAGACAGTCAAGTGGCAACATCCAATGAGTTTAAGAGCTAAAAACTGTTGCATCTCATCAATACAATCTCCCAACGGTGAGCCAGAAACAAACCCGGTAAATATTCCAATGGAGCAACTCGTTCATTCGATTAATGCTTCAATTAAGTCATTAAGCTTGGCTGGAAGGAAAACCAGTGGGTGTGCGGACCCCCAGGAGCAGGACCTTGTCTTAAGGAACACGTGGTTTGATGTCAAAAGATTGTGCGCACATCCCGAAAATTTTCAGAAGACTGATCACAGTAATGTTACTGATTGGTCAGCCCCTCGCCAATTTACTGATCCCTATATTTGTACCAATTTCTTAACACAGCTTCGTCGTGTTGAGTTACCATAAAGGTTTAGTGAACTTTCCCTATACTGAAATGATTATTTCTTCTCAGTTTGGGGTTGAGATGTAACAGGGCAAAGTCCAGGTTTTTAGTCGCCGAGGAGTTGGGGATCTCCCAGGCTAGGTGTTAGGACCACTGGTCACTTTTTGGGTTGTATGTGCTGATTTTAACAACCGTGTACAAAGGTAAGAACCAGACGCTGGGTATTTGAGAAGATAAAGGGGTAATATTGCATGCTTGTGCTGCTTTTCACTGAGACATACAATTTCACCCAGGAAGGGATGCAAGTCCTGTGCAACGGGAGTCTCTACTCGTTATGATACTCAAAAGCCCAATGTTCTAATTTTTTCTTGCAAAGTTAAAATCAATCATTAACCCAAGAACAACGTTTTGCGTCGTTTGCTGTGGCACACTGACCAAAAGAGAGTGAGAAGATCCGCCTGGGGCGAAGTGCACAGTACAGTGGGAGCATGAAGGCTGCCCCGGCCCGGATGGTGAGTGTCACTCAGGGGGAGGAGGCTGTACTGAGGGGACATCAGATGACTGGTCTTCTTGCTCCTGCTTTGGGTGACTGGAATCGGAGAGACTCGTGGGTTCAGAGGGCACGCTTGGATTACTGGAATCACTGGGTTTATCATCTTCAGGCATTTTTTCATTTGATCCTGGTGGGTGTCCAGAGGTGGGGCTGACTGGCACATTCCTGTACACAGAGCTTTTTTTGTCCATGTTATAATAAATCTGCAGAAACCAAAGCTGGAGATTAATACACGATCCAGTGAACAAAAAAAAAATCCTTTTATAGCTAAGGTTATCGAGCAATGCGTGTAACAGTGTCATCCTGGTACTGTGATCTTAGCCAACCAACACTCTGAACCCTGTTCTTGATCATGGTCAGTTTGTGTGATCGTCTTGAGACCTGGACAGGGGCCCACACTGCGGAAGTCTAGGAACTCACCTCATCTTCAGCATCAGCCAGCTGATACTCCATAAATTTGACAATCTTCAAAAATTCAGGTCTTTTTCTTGGCTCGAGCATCCAGCAGGATTTCATCATATTGTAGCTAATTGGGAAATAAATGAAAGTAAAATGTAGATCTATTTACTGAGCCCAGGGCTGCCATTTTCATGCCAGGCAGGTATATATCAGTTTCCTAATTATATATATTCTAAAAAAGGAAAAAGATTAAAGAATTGTCCATAAATTAGACAAAAGTTTCTGCAGAACAGATTTGACCCAGTTCACAGCAGCAACAGAACAAGTGCTTTCACTGTTTGTGAGTCCCTAAGTACAGTAAGCCATCTGTGGTCTCTGAAGAGTAGGAGGCAGTGTGTCGGTTAAGACACTTACACAGCCTGGCTTGCATAGTAAGGCTGATCCATCTTAAATCCATTCTGAATCAACGAATAGAAGTGTCGGTCCACCTTCATCCCAGGATAAGGGTTCACACCTAAGAAAGAAGGAAAGGCCAAGACAGAGAGAAAGAGAATGATCAGCACGTCATTCCTAATCACATAGATTGTGCTATATTCCAGCAGCTGCTCCTGGGGATTGAGATTGTAAATTTGTGCGTTGGACATACCGAGGGAAAAGATCTCCCACAGCAGAATCCCATAAGACCAAACGTCGCTCTGCATGGTGTAGATTCCATCAAACAGACTCTCTGGGGCCATCCACTTCACAGGCAGCCTGACCTGCAGACACACACCCCCCAACTGTGAACAGGACATAGACCAGATGCACAGTATTTTCTTACAGGTCATTGACCACATCCATGGGCGTCTGTATGGCAGCATTAAATACCATCAGGAATCATAGTGCCATTTATGAAAGTGGACAGCACATCAACTGAGCCAATTGTCAGTCGATGAATACAAAGTGAAAATGATACTCATAGAAAAGGAAAAGAAAACTTACATTGCCCTTTACAACATAGTTTGAATCATTCACGATGTCCCTGGCTAATCCGAAGTCGCCGATCTTTACCAGTTTTCCGTGAGTAACCAATACATTCCTGGCGGCGAGATCCCTGTGAATGCACTGTGGAAACATCGGCAGGGAGTTAAAGACGTTGATCTTTGGCAAAGCACTGAACGCTCTCCATGTGCTGGAGGTGAACACTACTGAAACGTAACCTTTAACTCATTCATTCAAAAGAAAGATCCCAACAGAAATTGAATTGGCAGAGCACAAAGAAAGTCTAGTACCGTAGTAAAGTATGCAACTTTTCTGTTATTAAAAAAAATAGTGTAACGCTTACGGCCGACAAGCACTGTGTGTAAGAGCCGGCGTACCAGAGCGGGTGACGTCACCGCCCTTCCCTGTGATAGCAGAACCACAGCTACTGGGCTGCGGAGAGATCTCTCTTTAGCTCACGGGGCTAGGTCGCTGCAGAGAGACGCGGAAGTCCCGGGTTCAAGCCTCCAGTCGGGATGGGGCCGACCAGATGCGGCAAGGGCGCCCGCCTGAGCCCCCGTTGCGTTACAATAGTATATGTTTATAAACAGCCTGTACAAGAATTCTCCTAAACTGTAACCATTTATCAATAAATTAGTGCAGGCAGGAAGTCTCTATGCTCTGATCAGAGATCTTTGGAGCAGGCACTTTCAGCACCAGGCTGAAACTGGACAGCTCCCAGCATGCGAGGCTGGGTTCAGCACTTTGGTTTGTGAACAGCGACCACTGTTAAAGAAGACAATGGCAGCTGCTTAATGCTGTCCACTCTATGTGGTACATCATGACACTACTTTATGTGTACACTATGATACAAAAATGAGTGAAGCAGGCCTAGAGCTCTTCAGCCATAAAACGTACATTCTTTGAGGCAAGAAATTCCATCCCTTTTGCCACCTGATAGGAAAAACTGAGAAGGTCATCATACGTGAGTATGTTCAGTTCCTCTTCTTCATACTGGTCCAAATTTTTATACATCCCTGTAAAATAGGAGAAGGAAACTTAACAGCAGACCGCTGACTTGCAGCACCACCACATATAGTGTTTCAGCACTGTAAAAAGTCAAACATCCTGGTGCTAAATCCACGGCATTCCTGACCTGCTGCACAAAACAGCTGTTCCTTGGATCCAAGGAAGCTTTACATTAAAGTGATCCTCACCATCCGAGACCACCTCTCCTGCGTCGCTCAGACTGAGGAGTCTTTCTGCTTCCCCGACTCTTTCTGTGACATCACGTGCTCTATGCATCGGGACGTAGTTGTTTTTGTGACTCATAGGATCATTTCTGAGGAAGACCAAATCATCTTGACAGTTCTGAACACCACTGTTAGTGTTACTTACATTTCTACTTAAAAATGCAAGTGAAGTTGAGAAGACATACCTGAAAACGTGCTCAGATTGGAAGTTATGATACAAACAGCTGTAGCGATTTTTAGTGAAGACATCCGTTAGAGACTTGTGAAACGTTTCCCTGTTGTCCCTCAGGTAATTTAGAAGGTCCCCTTTGGTGCAGTATTGAAAGATCAGATAAGTTGGTCCTGTAACACGGATATGGTGGAAATGTTAAATCAGTGTCTAGTTCCACTAATGTCTCTTCAGTGCAGAGAGAAGAACCGGCCTGACAATGAGAGTGTGTGCACGCATATCTGTGTTATTGTTATCTCATACAAACACATCTCTGCACAGCCCTCGTTATTTTAATACATTAAAGCAGATTTTAATCTGTTCATGTAATACTTGACTTTTGCAAACAGAAATGACAATGGAGCCAAGCTAAGATGTTGATTCACAGTTAAATGTGACCTCAGACCTTTCTTGCTATCTCATGCCCATGTGGGATCTAACTGCAGTGATCAGCCTGTCTGTGGCCTCACTGGCACAACATGAGGACACACAGACACGCCCACAGTCCAGGACTCTGACTGCAGTGATCAGCCTGTCTGTGGCCTCACTGGCACCACATGAGGACACACAGA